CCTCTCTGCATGTCAGTTTCTTCTACCTAGAGAAAGATGAGTTGGGATGCACCATGGAGATGGGTGCTGTCTCAAGGCATGTCTTATAAAATCACTTCCTTCATAAGTGGGACTTTGTTCATTTGTTTACATATATTTGGTGGCAGTAATGAGCTAACATTTATATGAGCAAAGCTGCACATCTCTTTCAGGTGAACATCTCTTGCTGGGAACAGAGGAATCAGATGCTGAACTTACCAAAAATGCTGAAAATGATGCTTTAGAGCAGAGAATCACTTCATTTGGCTGAAAAATTACATTTCTCTTCATGACTGTTACCAATCATTGTGTGTAGATCCTGTCCTTTTACCGTTTGGAAAGACTCACCAGCTAGCTATTCTTTATTTATTAGCCACTTTCAGATCCTAAAGGCAAAGAAGATGGAGAGGGAAGGTAGAAGTCATCATGTTTGATCCTAAATATAGAGTTGTGTTTGCCTGTTCCAATCTCAGAATTCTAATCCTTATCTGGCTAATCTAACAACAAATAAATGCCAACTGTGCCCATTGGTGTATTTTAATAGAAGCACATATATGATTTTGGTGTCTTATTAGAACTCATGTAGTATATATTGAGTCCACCTATTTATATATTTTTCTCTATCTTGCTATTCTTATTTGGAAGGTTTGCTTGTTTGAGTGGAAGTGAACTGCCCCATTTAAAGTGGGGGGGATTTTTTAAAAATAAACTATTGTAACAGAATATGTTTGGGAGTTGTAAAAATTTGTCCATTGAATCAATCAGAATTAAGAGGATCTGTTAAATGCTGGGGGCAGAAATCAGAGTCAGTAGAGCTTGCAAAACATATTTTTTTAGCACTTTAGTGAGAGAAGCACGTTATTTTTTTTAATTTTATAATTAATTTAATTTTAAACATTAGCTACAGATTCCCTGGTCCTCCCGCTTCCCACTCCCCACACCTCCCCCCAATTCCCCCCGATTCCCATCTCCTCCAGGGCAAGGACTCCCGTGGGGATTCATCTCAGCCTGGTAGTTTCAGTCAAGGCAGGTCCAGTCACCTCCTCTCTACACCAAGGCTGAGCAAAGGGTTTCAGTATAGGCCCTAGGTTCCAAAAAGCCAGCTCATGCACTAAGGACAGGTCCTGGTCATACTCCCTGGGGAACTCCTAAATAGTTCCAGATACTCAACTGCCTCACTTATCCAGAGGGCCTGATCCAGTTCCATTGGGGCTCCTCAGCTATTGGTTCACAGTTCATATGTTTCCACTAGTTTTGCTATTTGTCCCTGTGTTTTTTCTAATCACAGTCTCAATATTTCTTGCTGATATAATCCCTCCTCTCTCTCTCACTGATTGGACTCCTGGAGCTCCACCTGGGGCTTGGCTGTGGATCTCTGCACCTGCTTCAATCAGTCACTGGATGAGAGTTCTATCATGACAATTAGGGTGTTCAGCCATCCAATCACCAGAATGGGTCAGCTCAGGTACTCTCTCAACCATTGCCAGTAGTCTATAGTGGAGATATCTTTGTGGATTTCTTGGGACCTCTCTAGCACTCTGCTTCTTTCTGTTCCCCATGGTTCTTCTTTCATCTTTGTATCTCTTTCCTTTTTCTCCCACTCTGTTCCTGGTCCATCTTAGACCTCCTGCTCCCCTAATCTCTCTTTACAGTGACCCATGCCCTCCATTAACCACCTCACCCCCAGTTTGCTCATGAAGATCCCATCCATTTCTTTGTCACTGGGTGATCCTTGTGTCTTTGTTAGGGTCCTCTTTACTAGGTAGCCTCCTTGGAGTTGTCAGTTGCAGTCTGGTTGTCCTTTGCTTCATTTATATTTAGTATCCACTTATGAATGAGTACATACCATGTTTGTCTTTCTGAGTCTGGGTTACTTCACTCAGGATGATATTTTCTAGTTC